ATGTTACGTATAATTAGTAGTGACCGACCGAATATTCGTTTTCGTTTTCGTTTTCGGCCATTTTCGGCCAAAAAATGGACATTCGGCCATATTTTCGTTTTCGGCCAAAAACCAGCCGAAGCTTCGGCCAAACCGAATATCAAAAATACGTGACTAAGATGATGACTTACCTAACGTTTGGATATCTTCGGAGTGAATAGAGTGCACTCATGGTTCCAATCAGACTTGAACGGACGCGGTATTGTCATGTCACACTGTTTAGAAGTTGTGAAGTGAGGTTACGCTGTAAAGGGTGTCCAGCGGGATTTTTTTAAGTTCAAAATTGATTACAAAGCCAAAGAATTTTCATTAAGTTTAATTGGTTAGAAATAGAGTCTAATAATGCGGATTTGAAATACGCCATGAGTCACTGGTTGGGAGCCCCTAAAGCGTTCTCAGTTGAGCAATATTTGAAATGCAAGCAAGCTTAAAGCATGTAAAAACGAGGCAATAAAGTATTATCTTATCTTAAAATGCGACGAATCACGGTTCGAGCGCGTTGCGCTTTTCGTACTCATCTCAATATTCAGCGATTAAGTGATGGCCAAACTTACCTCATCGTGAGTGCAAAATATTCAGGCAAGAAAGAACAGTCGTCCACAGGATTCATCTAGACCCATGAAAATCAGCAACGACACCGAACGGGTGGCCTAAGCTCAAGACGAAATTATAAACAACAAGTCAATGCTGAGGTGTATTGGCGAATGATCGATGAATGTCTACTATCACAACTGCAACTGCATTCCGACTACAAATGCAGAACTCTATTTCAACAAGAAGGTGTCTCACCACACACTGATAGGACCTCGATGGAGACACTGAGGACAATTTTTTTCAAATAAATCACACCATACGACTTTTTTTATGGGGATATCTCAAATCAAAAGTTTACAGCAATAATCATCAAATAATTCAGGTTCTGTAAGAAAATATCCGCCGTGAAGTTGCAGAAAATCACCAGCGCGCTTTGCTCTCGCTCGCGTAGTTGCGAATGTAAGGGTCCGGCAACATTATTCCAGTATACACCGGAAATAATATTCCATTAAGAATTCATAATAATATCTTAAATTTTTAATGTTTTCTTTAATTAATGCTTATCCAAATCCGTTCGTCAACTGTGAAACGTCAATATGTTTTACTGTTTTCCAAGTTTATATATTTCTCATATTGTTTACAAGACTATTTAAACAATTTGAAAGTAAAAGCATCGAAAATTTATGGATATTTCATCGGAAACAAATTGAAATTTGATAGTTGAAGGTCATTTTCGTTTTCGTTTTCGTTTTCGGCCGAAAATGGGACTGCAGCCGAAGCTTCGTTTTCGTTTTCGTTTCCGGCTGAAAATCCATATTCGGTCGGACACTAATAATTAGTGACCGACCGAATATTCGTTTTCGTTTTCGTTTTCGGCCATTTTCGGCCAAAAAATGGACATTCGGCCATATTTTCGTTTTCGGCCAAAAACCAGCCGAAGCTTCGGCCAAACCGAATATCAAAAATACGTGAATAAGATGGTGACGTTTATCGTTCCGATATCTTCGGGAGTGAATCAGTAGGCCTAGGATGAGCGTCGCGATAAGCGTTTATCACGCCATCTTATCGATTTTACGCGATAAGTCCATACATTTGTCGTCTAAAATCATCGATAAAATTTTATCACGGCGCGCATCCTAGCCCGGCTGGTGCACTCATGGTTCCAATCAGACTTGAACGGACGCGGTATTGTCACACTCTTTTGGTGACTCTAAAGGGTGCCCAGCGACAATTTTCCAAGTTCAAAATTGAATACAATAAACCCAAAGAGTTTTCATTAAGTTTAATTGTTTCAAAATAGAGTCTTAATGCGGATTTGAAATACGCCATGAGTCACTGGTTGGGAGCCTACAGAGCGTTCGCAGTTGAGCAATAAGTATTTGAAATGTATTGTCGAATGATCGATGAATGTCTGATACCACAACTGCAACTGCATCCCAGTCAACTACGTAACTCTATTTCAGCAAGAAGGTGTCTCACCACACACGGAGAGTACCTCGATGGAGACACTGAGGACTATTTTTTTTTTTCAAATAAATGATCAGCAAGTACAGGGACATACCCTAGCCGCCTCGGTCACCAGATCTCACACCATGCGACTTTTTCTTGTGGGGATATCTCAAGTCAAAAGTTTACAGCAAACAATCCTTAAATAATTCAGGTTCTGTAAGAAAATATCCGCCGTGAAGTTGCAGGAAAATTATTAGCTCGAATTGCTCTCGCATAGTTGCGAATGTAAGGGTCCGGCTGTGAGAGTGCCTATAGTAAAACGGGCATCATTTAAAAGACATTGCCTATAAAAAATTTAATCCACATTGTTAAACTCCAGTTTGCATTAGTAATAAATAATAAAAAAAACATTAATTTGTATTCATTTTTTAAGTTAAAAAATTCCCACTGGACACCCTTTCTTTCTTCTTCACTTCCCAATATTTCAATATACACCGGAAATAATATTCTACTAAGAATTCATGATTAATTTTTTGTGTTTTAAAGCCGGTTTTCTATATTCAATTTATCAAAATCAACTGTCAAACGTCATTATGTTTTTGGTCAAAACATTAACGGTTTTCAAAGTTTTTACATAATTTCAGATTGAAATTTGAGAGTTGAAGGTCATTTTCGTTTTCGTTTTCGTTTTCGGCCGAAAATGAGACTGCAGCCGAAGCTTCGTTTTCGTTTCCGTTTTCGGCTGAAAATCCATATTCGGTCGGACACTACGTATAATGTACCGTAGTTTGTTAATTAAAATGTTAAAAAAGGTTGATGGCCTTTATAATAAAAAAAATATCATCAGGCCATTAAAAATAATTATATCAATCACCCTTTGATCAAAGAGTTCGTTGTCAAAGTACTAAAAGTTCAAAGGGAATGTCTAAAAATATCCTATTACCTATTTTTAACCCATCCTATTTTTTAGGTTCACCGATATTAATTTTTCAGCTTATGTTTCAGTAACTAGGAAAAATTATCAGATTTAGAAATAAAAATTAACATTAAACAATGATTACAGAACAAAAAAAGAAGTCTTCAAATTGACCGGTACTCTCTTTGGATCATCAACACGGAAGAAATCCTTCACCTACATACTTGACAGGACAAAAGAAACAAAAACATTGTAACTTCCGCATCATCCTCGAGCATATCCATCCATATGGAACGCAAGTTTATCCGGTACGTTAGTCTCAGTCCTATGTCAACAGAAAAACACCTTTTCATAGCTCATCGAGAACGAACAGTATTATTTTATGCAAGCAGGCTTCCTTTTATAACTAAAGTTTTTCATTTATATGTATAAATACATACGATTCTTCTTACGTAATGTACTTGTTATTGGGTTCATTAGAAGTGTCAATATACGCATAAAACTTGAAGCAACTAATATATGANAAGTCTTCAAATTGACCGGTACTCTCTTTGGATCATTAACACGGAAGAAATCCTTCACCTACATACTTGACAGGACAAAAGAAACAAAAACATTGTAATTTTCGGCATCATCCTCGAGCATATCCATCCATATGGAACGCAAGTTTATCCGGTACGTTAGTCCCAGTCCTATGTCAACAGAAAAACACCTTTTCATAGCTCATCGAGAACGAACAGTATTATTTTATGCAAGCAGGCTTCCTTTTATAACTGAAGTTTTTCATTTATACATATGTATAAATACATACGATTCTTCTTACGTAATGAACTTGTTATTGGGTTCATTAGAAGTGTCAATATACGCCTAAAACTTAAAGCAACTAATGTTAGTCATGACCAGGATTACATTTCTCTTTGTGCACTGGCTGTGACGTAGCTTACTACGTAGCGGTGTTGAATAATAATGTATCTGCTTAAATATTTACATAGAGAATATCACTTTTATAAGAGACTTTTCAAATCTGATAAAATCCTTTAACATTTGCTAGTAGAACTGGCTGTTCTCCTCATTGCAATGCCGAGTGCATGCGAGGCATTTATTCGCGCAAACACCATTGTTCGCTGTAATTATTTGCCGCAACTGGAAAATTACTCGCGATTGTTCGGCGCGCGCTCGCCGAGCACCTGGCCGTTAATCTCGGCGAAGATTATCGCATTAACAATAAGGGCACTGCACGCTATTACGCTTTCCCACGGCACCGAGCGTGGAATAAAGAGTGCTGCCCCTATTATGTGGTTAATGATCTGTCAAAATGCTGTTACTTTGTAGACTATGAGCGTTGGAGACGAAAAAAATAAATTAAAATAAAATTGATCGACCAAGCTTAATAGTGAACCTGAATGTTGCGGGACTTGTGGTGAACTTTTTTAGCTAAAAGAGGTAGGTACTATACATTTTAGTCTTATCTCGGAACATTATAAGAATGATTATGTCATCAAAAGATGGAAAACAAAGTTTTAACGCAAAACCCAATGGAGTATGAAATACGGAGGGCAAATTACAGCCGCAGGCGTCTGTTTTCCGCGAAGGGCTTCAATCCAATCCGACACACGAACAAATCGGTGTCAGACATGTCTTTGTCTCTTTGTTCAAAAACACTTTTACGCACTTCGCTGGCGTAATTACGCGAAGGGTAAATAATTTTACCCTAAAATTTTACGTTTTTAGGCCACTGATGGAAAAAGTTTTCCCACTGTTTCAATCAAACTTTGTCTTGCAAAAATGTTTAACCCATGTCTCCCTTGTAATAAGCCATGCGCTAATCACGAAGAGTTCGTTCCTAAAAGTATTCGCAACCGCAACCTAATACTTAATTCTTCGGAACATAAACCACAAAATTATTATAACGGTGCCTAGGTTAATTTGAATTCCATCCGGTAATAACGTAGTGTCAAAAATGCTGGCATGTCAAGAAGATAACAGCAAAGGTAGGTATCAAAATAAACGTAACAAAATAAAAATGTGACATAATGTAGCCGTCAAGAAAAATTCGACTCACCTGTTCGGGACAAAGGCCAGGAATACTCAGCGATCTGAAACAAAACAATTTCGTTATGTAATAAACCTCACGAAACGTAAATAAATAGGTAGGTACCTAAGTATGACGACGGTGGTGGGTGGATAAATACCACACTAAATTCAGGAGAAGTAATTTATATAATATCTTTTGGAAGCGCCATTGTGATTTTACTTGTCATTTATTTTATTTTTTTATTTTATTATTAATCCTCTCATAAGTTACATTGATTTTTCTTAATACTTATAAATACAACACACACACAATGAATAAATTAATCCTATCATTCTAAATCTAGTCAATGAGTCACATTGCACAAATACCATGGACTCTATCTCGTATTTTCTCACCCAGTATACTTGACATTTGTTATGCACTTTATTGGACTTTGAATAAACTTAAAATCCAGTCTAACAATCGGCCGCAAAGGTAATCTATCGATATCCCACTAGCATTCCCCATCACTACTCCTCCGTCGCTCATCCAAATATGCGCGGAGCTGGCACTTAACACTTCTATTTAACTTCTCCTGAAGTGCTTGCGCGTCTTTTCCAATACTTGGGTCGGAGGGAACTGAGTCTACTGCGATCCGAATCGGTTCAGAAACATCTCTGTATACATGAATACTGATTCGAGGATAAACATCGAGTGCTCGAGTCAATACGATGACGTTTCAGCGATCTTTGCGAGGAAATCTCGTGTGAAGTGGAATCGGGCTCGAGCGGCATACGATATTAAAATTTATCTTAAATAAAATGTTCACAGCCCCAAATATTCTTCAAGATATATTTTATGAATGATCTTATTTGGTTACTAGTTTATAAAAAGAGAAAGAAAGCTCACACACGTTTTTGTTGCAATTTAGTTTACTTAGGCTGAGGTACATAACAAATACCTAACCCTACTTACCTTTTGTCCTTTAATTACAAATTGTATATCATAATTATTTTTTTTGTGATTCACCTTTCTTGATCGACTTTCTTGTGATAAGGTTCCTGATAATAATATTATTTTAAATTTTAGATTGAACTCTGATTGACAGTTTCGTGTTATCTATCTACTTACCTATTCGACATCTTAAAGATAAAGTTTTAAAGGTGATGTTATAAATAAATGCAAACAGGCGCCGAGGTGATCTGTTTTGACTCCTTGAAATTCAAATGGATTGTCACTTATCGCGCTGAATCGTTTCGATGGTTCCGGAGCAAAACGCTCCGATTCAACGTCCACTGAAATTACCATGACAATGGTGTGTCTGTTCTGCAGTTCCATAATAAAATAAAATGAACTGTTGTTTATGTGCCATAAAGCCTTTTTTTTTCATTTCATAACCTTTAAAATTAAAATACGTAGTCTAGGTAACTAAAATTTAATAAAAATAATTATTATTTGTACCTTCACATCAGAAACGCCAGCTGCAGTTGCAGATTCGAATAATTATGCCAGTCAGTTTCAGTTTCTACAACTGACAGCCACGAAAATACGGCTAATAAGTATAATTTGTTTTTGTTTTACTCGGAACCACAGGATGACCAATAGGTAGTACGAGCATAACTCAGGAAAACAAAATTTTCACCTTTTCCAGGGCTACGGCAACTTTCCAGACGTGGAAACTTTGACCGTAACTTCTCGCAAAGCGCGTGAAAAGAAGGTAGGTTTAATAAGATAAAATTAGGTCAGTAATTCTTGTCGGGTGATAGGAACTACATTATTAGTAGTAATAAAACTTCTGACATCTTCTACCTCACCATGTTACGGTAGAAATCTCAGCGAAATATTAAGGTAATATAACCAAATTTCTGAAACTGCCTAGTCATAGAGAAATCTGTATAACTCCTCTCACATCGAAACCATAGACGTAGGCTCAGAAGGCTTACCCTCATTTAATAAGTTTAAATGTGTTCGCTCATATCGTATACAAATTCCTCTAATAGGTGGGCTAATAGGTACTCGTAATAGCAAAGGGATCGCTTTCAGACAATCAATAAAATAGAATTTGTTAAAAATGGGATAAAGCCCTTTTCAACAAATTCTATTTCATAATATTTTAATGTTGAATCATTTTTGGAATATCAAAATGAAAATGCTATCTACTTATTTATTTCAGTGTGATATGACGCCAGATGGGAATGACTTCGCCAAAATGCACGTAGTTGTGTGAACAGTGGACCTATATAGAGGTTATATAGAGGTGAAAACTATAGGCTTTGACCAACTACACTGTATCTATGCAATTTATATATTTGTAAGCTGTTTGTTTTCTGAATAAAACAAAATAAAATAAAATAAAATATCACTGACTGTTCCCTCACTGTGTCCCGGGGCGCAGTCAGCAAACAGGTCGAGTTCCAGCAATCCGACGCGCAAATATTTGAGCCCTCGTCGCGCGAGCAGCCGCGGGTCGTCTTATCTACTCACGCCGTTTGTCGGTGTTTATAAACCTTTACTTATGCTTCATTACAGGTCTATTAATATACTTATTGGACGGACTTTCAGAATTCATTTCACCGTGCAAACAATTTATCATATGGAAGAATAAACGTTTTTTTAACAAGCGACGAATTTTCAAGATGAACACCTAGTTTGAATCTAAATACACTAAAGTAAGATTGGTGGTCTTTATTTTTAAAACTATTTTCACAAAACAATTTTAGAAGTGTACCAATCACAAAGCTCTATTCAACGCTGTGCGTTCGATTTGCTGCTTCACTTAAGCAAGTATCGTTTGTAAATACGGGCGTAAACCTCGTCTATAAATTTTCACTCTGCAACAAAAGGGACTCTAATAAAAGAAACTCAAAATAAAAGTGATTACGGTCGCACGTAACTGTATGCCTATTGTTAATACCATCTTCTATTCTTATGCAAAACATGCCCATAATCAACAAACGCTGACCTGAAAATTGAACAGGCCCTCCATTCAAATCACAGCGCCATCGCCAGGGGAACCGACTTGAAGTGGGTACGCTACACAGCCAGTGAGCTAGATTAAACGAGGACGTGTTTAGAAGTTCTCGTGCTAACATCTAGTTTCAATTCCCTGGACGTATTTGATCAGCCAGTTCATCCAGTACGATGTCCCGGCAGACATAAGACTACTGAGATTAAATCGTTGGCGTATGCAAAGATATCGTATACCTATTGTTTTTAGATTTTTCTCTCATAATCATCAAGTGTAATTGGAGCGGCAACAAGACTCATGAAAAATGTAAAGAATGAAGGAAGTGGGAGCGAAAACACAAAGTCATCGTGTGAATGAATGAACACAATGAAACGTAAGATTTTTTAACTACTTTAAACATTTTCCAGGTTTACTAATCTAAAAGAAGGTAAATCCTATAGAATTCTGCCCTTGCTCGTAACAAACTTCACCTTTGTTTGACTTTTTTTTCATTTTGAATTTCCTCATGAATGCAAGTAGGGATCATTATCGCGATCGGAATTAAAATAATTATTCTCTTCCAGCCGATGTCCTTCAACATTGGTTCAGCACTCAGATCATAGCCCTTCTATGATCTGAGGTTCAGCAGTTTAAAGGTTCGGCCAAACCAACGCATGCACGATGGCGATAAGATAAATCGTGTATAAATTTGTAGCGATGAGTTCACATCAACGCGTCCTGTTATTGGTCGCGGCGATCAATGCATGCGCAGTGATCGCCATCGCCATGGCCGACGCGAGCTGCACGCGTTGGTTTGGCCGAAGTTTAAAAAATATGTTAGACAAAGAGACTGAACGGCTCGGTTTACTTGGACTGTGATGTGGGTAGTTGTAACATCGGGCACTGGCGACCGGCCAAAACGACTCCGGCGCGTTCCGCACTATTGACTCCCGAGCACTTTCGCAACCGAGTGGATATCATAACTCGCCCGCCCGAACTAACGCGGGTGTTGTGATTATTGTTCAGCTAAGAGGACTGATGGGGGCGATAACAACGAAAAGATAAATTGAAAATATTCAAGAAAATATTTGATGAAGACCACAACTTCACCTGCAGAATAATTACTTCAAGTTAGTTTTTTTCGATGAAGATAAAAATTTAAGAATCATCCAGTATTGAGGAGTGATTTGCATAAACTCTAATGACCCTCTTAAGTTTTTACGACTACAGGCAGCCTGAACATCCATCTAATATACCTTTACTGTATTTTTGTATAGATAATGGTAAACAATCATTCTAAGTTCCGATAAATGTATAGGTACATTTATCAATTTTTAAGTTAAGGTTGAGCTAGATAAATTACTTTTAAGCTCACGTAACTACAAAATATTATAACCACTCACCAACAATTACAAGTCCTTAAGCCTGGAGCAAATAAATCAAGCTCTAACGATACGCCTTGCAAATTTGCAATTAACAGGCCAAGATTACAAATTGAGTTTGGCAGAACACACAAACCCAACAGGGCATAACCGCCAAGTGCTCCTTTTCTAAAAGTGTTCCCGAATCGCGGATACCTGGCAACCGAACAAGCTTTTAAAAAAGGAAAACGTTACTTAGAAGCTTTGCGGGGCAGCGGGGCGGAACGGCTAGTCTCTCTACTTGGCTGGCCGCCAGTCGCCGGCTTATAAGTGGACCGCACATGAACTTATTCAATCTTTTTCTATGGTAGTTCCAAGTTTTATGTATTTATGATAAGTCTTTAGGAGTTACTCGGATGTTTAAGTGCTTCAGAACGACTACAATCTGAGGCAGAGTGCCGAAACGTAGATGCGGAATAGTTTGAGCACAATTTTAATTAGGTACTCCAAGAGCAAAGTTATTCTTAAATTATACCTACTTACAGTTAATTTTAAATCTATTCTTTTCACAGTAACCTTTTTGTACTCGGAGATATGAGTAATATACATTTTATCACGTTCCGGAACAACTCTACTTTCAATGATGTAAGAATTTTGTAAATATTAGCGTGTTCTTATAATGTATCCTTGATTAAATCTTTTAAAAACAACAGATCATAAATATCTGCAAACACCAGCCGTTATTATTGAGTAGCCGATAGTTAACATCTTTAC